CTGGTTTAAATTGTAAAACCTGATTTAAATTGTAAAAACCTGGTTTAAATTGTAAAACCTGGTTTTAATTATAAAACCTGGTAGTGAAAAGTGAATAAATGTGCTCGGGTACAGACGTCAGATGGAAACAGAACTAGTGATGTAGAAGAGATGCAGAGACGGTAGCAGCGTTAGTAATACTGATGTGGTTTCATGTGACCCCGCCCTCCCCTGCAGGAGGAGGAGCTGCCCCCCCCCCCCCCCCCCCCACCGGTGTGAATGGAGTCTTTGTAAGAGTAAGAGATGGGCGAGCGACAGCAGGATACTAACAGAGAGAGAGTCTGACTGGCCGTGTCTCTGTCGGAGCTGCTGCTGGACTTCAGGCTCAGTCGGAGCTGTTCACTGATCAATAATCAGGGCCGACCAACAGAGGACGGTAAGAGCTGTCAATATTTAAATCTCTGAGACTCTCCACACAGAGAGCAGATATGTTTCAGTGCAGCTGGAGGAGCTTTAACAGATTAAATACACATGACCTGTTACCCTTAAAATACTGTGTTTAAAATACTGTGTGTTTAAATACTGTGTTTAAAATACTGTGTTTAAATACTGAGTTTAAAATACTGTGTTTAAATACTGAGTTTAAAATACTGTGTTTAAATACTAAGTTTAAAATACTGTGTTTAAATACTGTATTTATATACTGAGTTTAAAATACTGTGTTTAAATACTGTGTATTTAAATACTGTGTTTAAATACTGTGTATTTAAATACTGTGTTTAAATACTGTGTTTAAATACTGTGTTTAAAATACTGAGTGTTTGAATACTGTGTTTAAAATACTGAGTGTTTAAATACTGTGTTTAAATACTGAGTTTAAAATACTGTGTTTAAATACTAAGTTTAAAATACTGTGTTTAAATACTGTATTTAAATACTGAGTTTAAAATACTGTGTTTAAATACTGTGTATTTAAATACTGAGTTTAAAATACTGTGTATTTAAATACTGTGTTTAAACCTGTGTTTAAATACTGTGTATTTAAATACTGTGTTTAAATACTGAGTTTATATACTGTGTTTGAATTCTGTTTAAATACTGATGAGAATGCACGACACTGAAGGAAAATGATTGCTGACAGTTTAATATTAAAGCGTAGCTGCAGTTTTCCACTGTACATCAGTGGACGGGTTCCATCAGCTGCTTTCTTCTGTGTTTTATTGTGTTCTATTAAAGAACGTGGAACACTTCAGAGCATCAATTTGACCACTAGAGAACACAACATAGTACTTCAGTCACCTGTTCAAGGCTGATACTCAACATTGAGACAGTTGAAGTTCCCGTGGAACACCAGATCTGTGTTCTTGTTCAAGTTCCTGTGGAACACCAGATCTGCGTTGTTGTTAAGGTTCCTGTGGAACACCAGATCTGTGTTGTTGTTCAAGTTCCTGTGGAACACCAGATCTGCGTTGTTGTTAAGGTTCCTGTGGAACACCAGATCTGTGTTGTTGTTCAAGTTCCTGTGGAACACCAGACCTGTGTTGTTGTTAAGGTTCCTGTGGAACACCAGATCTGTATTGTTGTTAAGGTTCCTTGTGGAACACCAGATCTGTCTTGTTGTTCAAGTTCCTGTGGAACACCAGATCTGTGTTGTTGTTCAGGTTCCTGTGGAACACCGGACCTGTGTTGTTGTTAAGGTTCCTGTGGAACACCAGATCTGTGTTCTTGTTCAAGTTCCTGTGGAACACCAGATCTGTGTTGTTGTTCAAGTTCCTGTGGAAAACCAGACCTGTGTTGTTGTTAAGGTTCCTGTGGAACACCAGATCTGTGTTGTTGTTAAGGTTCCTTGTGGAACACCAGATCTGTGTTGTTGTTCAATTTCCTGTGGAACACCAGACCTGTGTTGTTGTTAAGGTTCCTGTGGAACACCAGATCTGTGTTGTTGTTAAGGTTTCTTGTGGAACACTAGATCTGTCTTGTTGTTCAAGTTCCTGTGGAACACCAGATCTGTGTTCTTGTTCAAGTTCCTGTGGAACACCAGATCTGTGTTGTTGTTCAAGTTCCTGTGGAACACCAGACCTGTGTTGTTGTTAAGGCTCCTGTGGAACACCAGACCTGTGTTCTTGTTCAACTTCCTGTGGAACACCAGATCTGTGTTCTTGTTCAAGTTCCTGTGGAACACCAGATCTGTGTTGTTGTTCAAGTTTCTGTGGAACACCAGATCTGTGTTGTTGTTAAGGTTCCTTGTGGAACACCAGATCTGTGTTGTTGTTCAAGTTCCTGTGGAACACCAGACCTGTGTTGTTGTTAAGGTTCCTGTGGAACACCAGATCTGTGTTGTTGTTAAGGTTCCTGTGGAACACCAGATCTGTGTTGTTGTTCAAGTTCCTGTGGAACACCAGATCTGTGTTCTTGTTCAAGTTCCTGTGGAACACCAGATCTGTGTTGTTGTTAAGGTTCCTTGTGGAACACCAGATCTGTGTTGTTGTTCAAGTTCCTGTGGAACACCAGACCTGTGTTGTTGTTAAGGCTCCTGTGGAACACCAGACCTGTGTTGTTGTTAAGGTTCCTGTGGAACACCAGATCTGTGTTGTTGTTCAAGTTCCTGTGGAACACCAGACCTGTGTTGTTGTTAAGGCTCCTGTGGAACACCAGACCTGTGTTGTTGTTAAGGTTCCTGTGTAACACCAGATCTGTGTTGTTGTTAAGGTTCCTGTGGAACACCAGACCTGTGTTGTTGTTAAGGTTCCTGTGGAACACCAGATCTGTCTTGTTGTTAAGGTTCCTTGTGGAACACCAGATCTGTGTTGTTGTTCAGGTTCCTGTGGAGTACCAGACCTGTGTTGTTGTTAAGGTTCCTGTGGAACACCAGATCTGTGTTGTTGTTCAAGTTCCTGTGGAACACCAGATCTGTGTTGTTGTTAAGGTTCCTGTGGAACACCAGACCTGTGTTGTTGTTAAGGTTCCTTGTGGAACACCAGATCTGTGTTGTTGTTCAAGTTCCTGTGGAACACCAGACCTGTGTTGTTGTTAAGGTTCCTGTGGAACACCAGACCTGTGTTGTTGTTAAGGTTCCTGTGGAACACCAGATCTGTGTTCTTGTTCAACTTCCTGTGGAACACCAGATCTGTGTTGTTGTTCAAGTTCCTGTGGAACACCAGATCTGTGTTGTTGTTCAAGTTTCTGTGGAACACCAGATCTGTGTTGTTGTTAAGGTTCCTTGTGGAACACCAGACCTGTGTTGTTGTTAAGGTTTCTTGTGGAACACCAGACCTGTGTTGTTGTTAAGGTTCCTGTGGAACACCAGACCTGTGTTGTTGTTAAGGTTCCTGTGGAACACCAGATCTGTGTTGTTGTTCAAGTTCCTGTGGAACACCAGATCTGTGTTGTTGTTAAGGTTCCTGTGGAACACCAGATCTGTGTTGTTGTTGTTATGATAAATAATTATTTTATATTATTCAAACGCAGCCTGAGAGGAAGGTCAGCCTGGCTGACCGAACTATGGACTGAAAGCACATTTAAAAGGAAAATCATTCAAATATAAAATTCTTTTTCTCCCCCTGTTTCTCTCAAAGGATCCAGTCTCCTCCTCCTTCATCATCACCTCCGTCAATACCAGCTCCTTCAGGATCACCTACTCCTGCTCTTCCTGGAGCTAGACAGCCTCTGGTTGTTTGGTGGAAGTATTTTTCCTCCCTCTGGTTGGAAGGTTTGACGTCTCCTTGTTGGACAGTTTCGACCTCTCCTTGTTGGACAGTTTGACGTCTGTTTTTTTGGATAGTTTGATGTCTGTTTTTTTGGACAGTTTGACATCTGTTTTTTGTACAGTTTGACATCTGTTTTTGGGCATCTCCTTGGACCATTTGGACCTCTCCTTGTTGGACAGTTTGAAATCTGTTTTTTTGAACAGTTTGACGTCTGTTTTTTTGGACAGTTTGACGTCTGTTTTATGGGCACCTTGACATCTGTTTTTGGGCATCTCCTTAGACAGTTTGGGCATCTCCTTAGACAGTTTGGGCATCTCCTTGTTGGACAGTTTGACATCGTTTTTTTGAGAGTTTGACATCTGTTTTTTGGACAGTTTGACGTCTCCTTATTGGACAGTTTAACATCTGTTTTTTGGACAATTTGACATCTACTTGTTGGACAGTTTGATGTCTCCTTGTTGGACAGTTTGACATCTGTTTTTTTGGACAATTTGACATCTACTTGTTGGACAGTTTGATGTCTCCTTGTTGGACAGTTTGACATCTGTTTTTTGGACAATTTGACATCTACTTGTTGGACAGTTTGATGTCTCCTTGTTGGACAGTTTGATATCTGTTTTTTGGACAGTTCGACATCTGTTTTTTTGGAAAGTTTGACGTCTCCTTGTTGTACAGTTTGACGTCTGTTTTTTTGGACAGTTTGAAGTCTGACAGTTTGGATGTCTCCTTGTTGGACAGTTTGGATGTCTCCTTGTTGGACACTTTGATGTCTATTTTGTTGGACAGATTGAATGTCTCTTCTTTGGACATCTTGTTGGAAAATTTGACATCTTCTTGTTGGACAGTTTGGCTGTCTCCTTGTTGGAAAATTTGAACTCTACTTGTTGGACAGTTTGAATGTCTCCTTGTTGGACAGTTTGACATCTCTTTTGTGGACAGTTTGGGCGTCTCCTTGTTGGACAGTTTCAACGTCTCCTTGTTGGACACTTTGACGTGTCCTTATTGGACAGTTTGACGTCTCCTTGTTGGACAGTTTGGATGTCTCCATGTCACTTGACACATTCTATTAAATTAAATTAAATTTTATTTATATAGTGCCAAATCACAACAACAGTTATCTCATTTATCAGTTATCACATCTACTTGTTGGTGTCTGTCTCCGCAGAGATGAACTGTCTCTGTGGTCTGAGCATGCTCAGTGTGTTCGTCCTGTCACTGTGGGAGGAGCCAAACTGTGAGGCAATGACCTTGAACTCTGTCCTCCTTCATCAGGTGTCAGAGGGAGGAGGAGGAGGAGGAGGAGGAGGAGGAGGAGGTCACCAGAGGAGGAAGAGGAGCTGGGTGTGGAACCAGTTCTTTGTCCTGGAGGAGTACGGCGAAGACGAGCCGCTGTATGTGGGGAAGGTACGATCAGGGACATCGATGCTTCCACTGATTTCTGTTTGTTACAATAAAAATCACTAATCAATCATCAATAATGAGTAAAACAGCTCCACCTGCTGGACACGTTGCATCATTACGTTTCCTTCACTTACATCAAACATCACAGGCCCAGTCAGTGTAGCTTTCCCAGATTAGGGTTAGCTCAAGGAACTTACTATTACTGTCTCTCTCCCGCTGCATGCTGGGAGTTTGGTGGTGGTGAGCTAATATGGCTGAAGGGGAGCCATGTTTCATGGTGGGGATGGCGTCCTTATTGGTTTTCTTTGTAGTAAGGGTGTGAATCTTTTGGTATCTCACGATTCAGGGTCTTGTTTACCTTTGAGGGTCAGATGGAGGTGAGGTCATCAGCAGGAATGTGGACTGTGGTGGTTTAGAGGGACCTGATCCTGGAGGTGAAGCTCTGGGTTCACCAGTTGATCACAGAACAGGTGATCACAGAATAGTTGATCACAAAACAGGTGATCGCACAACAAGTGTGTTCTTGTTGTCTCTGCTGGTCTACCTGTTGTTTTTTATGGGTTGTCTTGTTGTCTCTGGTCCCTGCAGCTCCACTCTGACATGGATAAGGGTGACGGTCAGGTGAGGTATGTCTTGAACGGTGAAGGAGCAATGTCCATCTTCACCATCGATGAGAATACAGGAGACATTCACGCCACCAAGAGGCTGGACCGGGAGCAGCAGGCATACTACTCCTTGAGAGCTCAGGCTCGAGACCGAAAAACCAACATGCCAGTGGAACCAGAGTCCCAGTTCATCATCAAAGTCCAGGACATCAATGACAACGAGCCCAAGTTCCTGGACGGACCGTACACTGCTAGGGTGGCTGAGGGGTCTCCTGTAGGTGAGTCTGAACACCTGACTAACCAAGGGACAAAGTCTACTCCATGACAATGGTCCAGGTCTTTATTAACTGATGTCTATAGTATGTGAAAGGTTATAAACACATACCTTAGACATCTTTTAGCAAGTAAAGAATCTTTATTCATCCTTTCAAAACTAAAGTTAAAAGATGCTGCACAGGCGCAGTTAAATTACAGGTTTCAGAATTTCAGGTCACACATAAACAAATGAAATAAATAAAGATAAAGCATAAAGCCGAATACGAGTTATAAAATAAAAGCCCTTACAGCTGCTGGTGTAGAAACTTAGAAACTAAATGATCACTATTCAAAGTAAACAACGTGATAGCATCTGGACTGCTAGCTTTCAGTCTGCACCTCCGACTGCCCTTCAGCCTGATACATGTCTAGCTACCAGCCTTCATTCCGACCTGCTAGCTACCAGCCTTCATCCCGACCTGCTAGCTACCAGCCTTCATCCCGACCTGCTAGCTACCAGCCTTCATTCCGACCTGCTAGCTACCAGCCTTCATCCCGACCTGCTAGCTACCAGCCTTCATCCCGACCTGATAGCTACCAGCCTTCATCCCGACCTGCTAGCTACCAGCCTTCTTCCCGACCTGCTAGCAACCAGCCTTCATCCCGACCTGCTAGCTACCAGCCTTCATCCCGACCTGCTAGCAACCAGCCTTTATCCCGACCTGCTAGCTACCAGCCTTCATCCCGACCTGCTAGCTACCAGCCTTCATCCCGACCTGATAGCTACCAGCCTTCATCCCGACCTGCTAGCTACCAGCCTTCATCCCGACCTGCTAGCAACCAGCCTTCATCCCGACCTGCTAGCTACCAGCCTTCATCCCGACCTGATAGCTACCAGCCTTCATTCCGACCTGCTAGCTACCAGCCTTCATCCCGACCTGCTAGCTACCAGCCTTCATCCCGACCTGCTAGCTACCAGCCTTCATTCCGACCTGCTAGCTACCAGCCTTCATTCCGACCTGCTAGCTACCAGCCTTCATCCCGACCTGCTAGCTACCAGCCTTCATCCCGACCTGCTAGCTACCAGCCTTCATTCCGACCTGCTAGCTACCAGCCTTCATCCCGACCTGCTAGCTACCAGCCTTCATCCCGACCTGATAGCTACCAGCCTTCATCCCGACCTGCTAGCTACCAGCCTTCTTCCCGACCTGCTAGCAACCAGCCTTCATCCCGACCTGCTAGCTACCAGCCTTCATCCCGACCTGCTAGCAACCAGCCTTTATCCCGACCTGCTAGCTACCAGCCTTCATCCCGACCTGCTAGCTACCAGCCTTCATCCCGACCTGATAGCTACCAGCCTTCATCCCGACCTGCTAGCTACCAGCCTTCATCCCGACCTGCTAGCAACCAGCCTTCATCCCGACCTGCTAGCTACCAGCCTTCATCCCGACCTGCTAGCTACCAGCCTTCATCCCGACCTGCTAGCTACCAGCCTTCATCCCGACCTGCTAGCTACCAGCCTTCATCCCGACCTGATAGCTACCAGCCTTCATCCCGACCTGATAGCTACCAGCCTTCATCCCGACCTGCTAGCTACCAGCCTTCATCCCGACCTGCTAGCTACCAGCCTTCATCCCGACCTGCTAGCAACCAGCCTTCATCCCGACCTGCTAGCTACCAGCCTTCATCCCGACCTGCTAGCTACCAGCCTTCATCCCGACCTGCTAGCTACCAGCCTTCATCCCGACCTGCTAGCTACCAGCCTTCATCCCGACCTGATAGCTACCAGCCTTCATCCCGACCTGATAGCTACCAGCCTTCATCCCGACCTGCTAGCTACCAGCCTTCATCCCGACCTGCTAGCTACCAGCCTTCATCCCGACCTGCTAGCAACCAGCCTTCATCCCGACCTGCTAGCTACCAGCCTTCATCCCGACCTGCTAGCTACCAGCCTTCATCCCGACCTGATAGCTACCAGCCTTCATCCCGACCTGATAGCTACCAGCCTTCATCCCGACCTGCTAGCTACCAGCCTTCATCCCGACCTGATAGCTACCAGCCTTCATCCCGACCTGATAGCTACCAGCCTTCATCCCGACCTGCTAGCTACCAGCCTTCATCCCGACCTGATAGCTACCAGCCTTCATCCCGACCTGCTAGCAACCAGCCTTCATCCCGACCTGCTAGCAACCAGCCTTCATCCCGACCTGCTAGCTACCAGCCTTCATCCCGACCTGATAGCTACCAGCCTTCATCCCGACCTGCTAGCAACCAGCCTTCATCCCGACCTGCTAGCTACCAGCCTTCATCCCGACCTGCTAGCTACCAGCCTTCATCCCGACCTGATAGCAACCAGCCTTCATCCCGACCTGCTAGCTACCAGCCTTCATCCCGACCTGCTAGCAACCAGCCTTCATCCCGACCTGCTAGCTACCAGCCTTCATTCCGACCTGATAGCTACCAGCCTTCATCCCGACCTGCTAGCAACCAGCCTTCATCCCGACCTGCTAGCTACCAGCCTTCATCCCGACCTGCTAGCTACCAGCCTTCATCCCGACCTGCTAGCAACCAGCCTTCATCCCGACCTGATAGCTACCAGCCTTCATCCCGACCTGCTAGCTACCAGCCTTCATCCCGACCTGCTAGCAACCAGCCTTCATCCCGACCTGCTAGCTACCAGCCTTCATCCCGACCTGCTAGCAACCAGCCTTCATCCCGACCTGATAGCTACCAGCCTTCATCCCGACCTGCTAGCTACCAGCCTTCATCCCGACCTGCTAGCAACCAGCCTTCATCCCGACCTGCTAGCAACCAGCCTTCATCCCGACCTGCTAGCTACCAGCCTTCATCCCGACCTGCTAGCTACCAGCCTTCATCCCGACCTGATAGCTACCAGCCTTCATCCCGACCTGCTAGCAACCAGCCTTCATCCCGACCTGCTAGCAACCAGCCTTCATCCCGACCTGCTAGCTACCAGCCTTCATCCCGACCTGCTAGCTACCAGCCTTCATCCCGACCTGATAGCAACCAGCCTTCATCCCGACCTGCTAGCTACCAGCCTTCATCCCGACCTGCTAGCAACCAGCCTTCATCCCGACCTGCTAGCAACCAGCCTTCATCCCGACCTGATAGCTACCAGCCTTCATCCCGACCTGCTAGCTACCAGCCTTCATCCCGACCTGCTAGCAACCAGCCTTCATCCCGACCTGCTAGCTACCAGCCTTCATCCCGACCTGCTAGCAACCAGCCTTCATCCCGACCTGCTAGCAACCAGCCTTCATCCCGACCTGATAGCTACCAGCCTTCATCCCGACCTGCTAGCTACCAGCCTTCATCCCGACCTGCTAGCAACCAGCCTTCATCCCGACCTGATAGCTACCAGCCTTCATCCCGACTGCAGCAACTTCCTGTCTCTCAAGTTGGATAAACTTAAAACATTTAAAAACAGCTGCAGTTACTATGTCGGAGAAGGTGCTACTCTTAATGTGATAATCACAGTTCTGACTGAACAGAAACATACTTTTATTGTGAAATTTATTTCTCATGCAGTAAAATGTTTTTTTAATGTTACATTTTTAACCCTTTTTAGATAAACATTTTCAGGTTTTTCTCTCCTTGGTTTGTTAAAGGATGTCATATTTCAAATCATTAAGGTGTTATTTCTCTACAGGTACGTCGGTGGTGACGGTGGTGGCGACAGATGCTGATGATCCGACTTATGGAAACTCTGCCAGACTGGTTTACAGCATCTTGCAGGGTCAGCCATACTTCTCTGTGGAGCCAAAGACAGGTAAGTGTGTTTCAATGCGTGTTTGTGTGGGTTATTGCTTGAATCAGAGTTTCTCTCTCTGAATAAGCAAACTCTTACTTCTTAATCCGTGTGGAACCTCAGGATCCAGATGCTGGTGGATGTGAAACAGAGGTTGACCTCACATTTCTGGCAGTTGGCCTTTGGTATACCTGTGCACCCAGGTACCTTGCGTCATCTGGGCGCACATCAGTGCCTGGAACTGGAACTCCTCATTCTCACACATTTCAGACTCTTCCAGACTCTTTCCACTTTTGGTCTTCAGCAGTGTATGACTTGAAGGTATACAGCTCCACTCGTTCTTTCTTTCTCATGCCATTGCCTTCACAGTACGTACTGGCAGCCAGATGGTCACGATCAAGTCCAGAAAGTGGTACCACCTCCGCTTGTACCACTTTAGAACCTGCAAGGTGGTTCCTCCAACCATGGCCACCTTTAGTTCAAAAGATCCACGTCCTGCCCTCTTCAGCTCAGCATCGCACATCAAGGTGATGCCTGGTGGACTGTCACCAACAGTAGCAGTGCTGTGCAGTCCCTGCTGAGCCAGTCTGAGAGGGACCCTCGTAAACCAGTTGTTCTTGCTTGGGTATTGGCTGGGCCAGGCGGAGGACATCTGCTAGCTCAGGCGGTTGTACAACTGTCACCATCAGAGTCAGCCAAGTCGAGTATCTTGTAGACCTGTTTCTTAGGTTTTGAGGGCAGGTATTCTTCAGTCTGTTTCTCCCATTTAATAGGACCCTCTGCTCATCAACAGCCAACTTCTCACCCAGTTATGAGCTGGATCATCATTTCCCTCCTGTCTCTCTTTGTTCTGAAGTGCAGGGACTTTTGTGCTTTAGTAGTGAGGTCGAGGGATGTGTTTGTGTGAAACTGTATCACATAGATTTGACTGCCCTACAATAACTTCCAGAATGTCTTTAGAAAACAACAGCTTGAAGTACTGGAGGGGGGCATGATATCAGATATCAAACTGCCATTCTGGGTCAGCACTGAAGTAAGCATGGTGGGCTGTTCTCCACCGTGGAACATGTCAGGGAAAATAATTCCTTCCCAAAGAATACAGAGTCAAATAGATGTGATGAATCATTCTTTATGTAACGTGCCACGGAGAGAACGCACGGTTACTCTCCAGAACTCAGCATTTCCTCTTCTTAAATACAAAACCAGGTACAGAACACAACAACCAATAGTAAACTGCCAAGACAAGGGACAACAAATGAGTATTATCACAGTATTATATCAAAAGCTTCTTCCTGGGCTGACAAAAGAACGTGGCATCAGAGTTGTGTCCAGGTGACTCTCATTTGTACATGTCAGCAGATGTTTATTGTAAGTCAGACAACCCTTTGATTAGGAATAAAACCCTGTGACCAAGTTAGTTACAGTGAAATCCTAAAAATCAGCAACTTATAATGTATTTCTCACAAACATCAACCTCTGCTACATCTTCATCTTCATCTTCATCCACAGACTCAGACTCGGCCTCAGTCTCTGCAGGCAGGTGTTCTCCTTTAAAACAGGAAGCAGGATGCACAGATCTGAATGTTTCAGTTACACAACTTGACTGGCCCCTGACTGGACCCCCTTTTGCCTTCAGAACTGCCTTAATTCTTCGTGGCATACTTTCAACAAGCAGGTGGAAACCTTCCTCAGAGACTTTGGTCCATGTTGACATGACAGCATCACACAGCTGCCGCAGATTTGTCTCCTGTTCCTCCACATCCCAAAGGGGCTCTGTTGGACTGAGATCTGGTGCCTGTGGAGGCCTCTGGAGTCCAGTGAACTCCTCATCATGTTCAGGAAACCAGTTTGAGATGATTTGAGCTTTGTGACATGGAGCATTATTCTGCTGGAAGCAGCCATCAGAAGATGGTACACTGTGGTCATAAAGGGATGGACCTGCTCAGCAACAATACTCAGGGAGGCTCAGCTGGTCCCCCACACCATTACACCACCACCACCACCTGAACCGTCGATACGAGGCAGGATGGATCCATGCTTTCATGTTGTTCACACCAAATTCTGACCCGACCATCTGAATCTCGCAGCTGAAATCGACTCAGACTCATCAGACCAGGCAGCGTTTTTCCTTCTTCTATTGTCTATTCTGAGCTGACAGGAGTGGCCCCTGGTGTGGTCTCCTGCTGCTGTGGCCCATCTGCTTCAAGGTTGGACCTGTTGTGCATTCAGAGATGGTGCTCTTCATACCTTGGTTGGAACGAGGGGTTCTCTGAGTTACTGTTGCCTTTCTGCTGTCATCTCGACCCGTATTTCCATCCACACCGCTGCCGCTCACTGGACATTTTCTCTTTTTCGGACCGTTCTCTGTAAGATGGCTGTGTGTGAAAATCCCAGAAGATCAGCAGTTTACCAGTCCCAGTCTATATCTATCTATATATATATCTATATATCTATATATCTATATATATCTATATATAAGTGCACTTCTTTTCTGTCCTCAACCTGTCTACATTACAGTTATCCATTCCATCGTTACTGGACACCTGCCAATCACAGTATTATACGTTATTGTACTATATTATATTCCTATATTTCATGTGGATTTTAACTTGTGTGATTTTCTATTTATACATGGTGATTGGCGGAGGGATTGCATTGCCCATGACTGCGTCGCTGTCATCGTTGTGCGTATGCTGATGAAGAAGAGTCAGAGAAACAACAGTGTGAACACAGTTGTCAGGAACAGGGTTATCTAGCCATGAAAAACCAGGACGGATGCAGATCTGTAACGTATAGAGCCATCACCAGGTGGAAATAGCTCCCAGTAGGGCCCACGTGTGTCAGGATGTGTGTGGTTGAAAGGTTGGTGGACCCAAATGCAGGACACGTAGGCTGACAGGTACAGTTCAAAAGGTTTATTAACAAAACAAAAGCGAGCACACTTACAGTCCAGGTAATCCAAAAATAACAACAGTTCAAACAAACCAGGTGATCCAACTGAAAACCTGAACATCCAAGAAGGGAAAATAATCCAGAAACAGGGAGACACGACGAGCAAGGCAGGCTAAACACGACATGAGACAACGCACATACACGCAACAATGACCGGACAAAGACTGAGGGAAACAAGCAAGGATATAAACACAGGTTAACGAGCTGGGAGGAGGCACACAGGTGATACTAATAATGACAGCAGACAGACGCAGGCAGGCAGGAACACCAGATACAGATGCCAAACAGGCCCAAACTAACAGACAAATCCAGAAACAGAACAGAAATATGAATCCAAATAAACACATATACAAGGTACAAAAGACAAGAATCCAACTGGAACTCTAAACACAGAACAGACAAGCAGGCAGAGGAATAAAATCCACATGCAGAAGCAAATCTAAATGCAGAAAAATAAACATCATAAAACTAAAACCGGACAGACAGGCAAACTAAATGACAAGAACAGACTGACGCAGAATAATCAAAACAATAATGAAGTAAGTATTGTATTGAGTATTTTTAATGAAACCAAATGATGAAAGTTTTTTTCTGTTTGTAGTCTCACAAACAGACTTTCAGTGTGAACATTTAAAGCTGTGAACTGTGATGTGTTGATCTCTTCCTCTTATATAACCCTGTTCACTCCCCATCTGCAGCAGACGTTAACCTTTAGATGGAACATGTTTATGGCTGACAGAGAGGAGGTGAATTAACTCTGCAGAGCCACAGATTAAAACAGATTGTGAGGATTATTTGATTATAAACAGCTTCAGCCTGCTCTGCTCTGAACCATCCATTTATTTACCCTCAGTAAGCTCAGCTGAGTCACAGGTCACATGGTCAGACTGAAAAACATCACCGTGATGTGTTCAAGGACTGAGGGAGAAAATCACTGTGTAAATACTGGAAGGTGTCCTGATGTGTTTACTGAACCTGAGTCTCACCTGTCCTGCAGGTGTCCTGATGTGTTTACTGAACCTGAGTCTCACCTGTCCTGCAGGTGTCCTGATGTGTTTACTGAACCTGAGTCTCACCTGTCCTGCAGGTGTCCTGATGTGTTTACTGAACCTGAGTCTCACCTGTCCTGCAGGTGTCCTGATGTGTTTACTGAACCTGAGTCTCACCTGTCCTGCAGGTGTCCTGATGTGTTTACTGAACCTGAGTCTCACCTGTCCTGCAGGTGTCCTGATGTGCTTACTGAACCTGAGTCTCACCTGTCCTGCAGGTGTCCTGATGTGTTTACTGAACCTGAGTCTCACCTGTCCTGCAGGTGTCCTGATGTGTTTACTGAACCTGAGTCTCACCTGTCCTGCAGGTGTCCTGATGTGCTTACTGAACCTGAGTCTCACCTGTCCTGCAGGTGTCCTGATGTGTTTACTGAACCTGAGTCTCACCTGTCCTGCAGGTGTCCTGATGTGTTTACTGAACCTGAGTCTCACCTGTCCTGCAGGTGTCCTGATGTGCTTACTGAACCTGAGTCTCACCTGTCCTGCAGGTGTCCTGATGTGCTTACTGAACCTGAGTCTCACCTGTCCTGCAGGTGTCCTGATGTGTTTACTGAACCTGAGTCTCACCTGTCCTGCAGGTGTCCTGATGTGTTTACTGAAACTGAGTCTCACCTGTCCTGCAGGTGTCCTGATGTGCTTACTGAACCTGAGTCTCACCTGTCCTGCAGGTGTCCTGATGTGCTTACTGAACCTGAGTCTCACCTGTCCTGCAGGTGTCCTGATGTGCTTACTGAACCTGAGTCTCACCTGTCCTGCAGGTGTCCTGATGTGTTACTGAAACTGAGTCTCACCTGTCCTGCAGGTGTCCTGATGTGCTTACTGAACCTGAGTCTCACCTGTCCTGCAGGTGTCCTGATGTGCTTACTGAACCTGAGTCTCACCTGTCCTGCAGGTGTCCTGATGTGCTTACTGAACCTGAGTCTCACCTGTCCTGCAGGTGTCCTGATGTGCTTACTGAACCTGAGTCTCACCTGTCCTGCAGGTGTCCTGATGTGCTTACTGAACCTGAGTCTCACCTGTCCTGCAGGTGTCCTGATGTGCTTACTGAACCTGAGTCTCACCTGTCCTGCAGGTGTCCTGATGTGTTTACTGAACCTGAGTCTCACCTGTCCTGCAGGTGTCCTGATGTGCTTACTGAACCTGAGTCTCACCTGTCCTGCAGGTGTCCTGATGTGTTTACTGAACCTGAGTCTCACCTGTCCTGCAGGTGTCCTGATGTGTTTACTGAACCTGAGTCTCACCTGTCCTGCAGGTGTCCTGATGTGCTTACTGAACCTGAGTCTCACCTGTCCTGCAGGTGTCCTGATGTGTTTACTGAACCTGAGTCTCACCTGTCCTGCAGGTGTCCTGATGTGCTTACTGAACCTGAGTCTCACCTGTCCTGCAGGTGTCCTGATGTGTTTACTGAACCTGAGTCTCACCTGTCCTGCAGGTGTCCTGATGTGTTTACTGAACCTGAGTCTCACCTGTCCTGCAGGTGTCCTGATGTGCTTACTGAACCTGAGTCTCACCTGTCCTGCAGGTGTCCTGATGTGTTTACTGAACCTGAGTCTCACCTGTCCTGCAGGTGTCCTGATGTGTTTACTGAACCTGAGTCTCACCTGTCCTGCAGGTGTCCTGATGTGCTTACTGAACCTGAGTCTCACCTGTCCTGCAGGTGTCCTGATGTGTTTACTGAACCTGAGTCTCACCTGTCCTGCAGGTGTCCTGATGTGTTTACTGAACCTGAGTCTCACCTGTCCTGCAGGTGTCCTGATGTGTTTACTGAAACTGAGTCTCACCTGTCCTGCAGGTGTCCTGATGTGTTTACTGAAACTGAGTCTCACCTGTCCTGCAGGTGTCCTGATGTGTTTACTGAAACTGAGTCTCACCTGTCCTGCAGGTGTCCTGATGTGCTTACTGAACCTGAGTCTCACCTGTCCTGCAGGTGTCCTGATGTGCTTACTGAACCTGAGTCTCACCTGTCCTGCAGGTGTCCTGATGTGTTTACTGAAACTGAGTCTCACCTGTCCTGCAGGTGTCCTGATGTGCTTACTGAACCTGAGTCTCACCTGTCCTGCAGGTGTCCTGATGTGCTTACTGAACCTGAGTCTCACCTGTCCTGCAGGTGTCCTGATGTGTTTACTGAACCTGAGTCTCACCTGTCCTGCAGGTGTCCTGATGTGTTTACTGAACCTGAGTCTCACCTGTCCTGCAGGTGTCCTGATGTGTTTACTGAAACTGAGTCTCACCTGTCCTGCAGGTGTCCTGATGTGCTTACTGAACCTGAGTCTCACCTGTCCTGCAGGTGTCCTGATGTGCTTACTGAACCTGAGTCTCACCTGTCCTGCAGGTGTCCTGATGTGCTTACTGAACCTGAGTCTCACCTGTCCTGCAGGTGTCCTGATGTGCTTACTGAACCTGAGTCTCACCTGTCCTGCAGGTGTCCTGATGTGCTTACTGAACCTGAGTCTCACCTGTCCTGCAGGTGTCCTGATGTGTTTACTGAACCTGAGTCTCACCTGTCCTGCAGGTGTCCTGATGTGCTTACTGAACCTGAGTCTCACCTGTCCTGCAGGTGTCCTGATGTGTTTACTGAACCTGAGTCTCACCTGTCCTGCAGGTGTCCTGATGTGCTTACTGAACCTGAGTCTCACCTGTCCTGCAGGTGTCCTGATGTGTTTACTGAACCTGAGTCTCACCTGTCCTGCAGGTGTCCTGATGTGTTTACTGAACCTGAGTCTCACCTGTCCTGCAGGTGTGGTGCGGACGGCTCTTCCTGACATGGACCGGGAGGTGCGGGAACGTTACCTGCTGGTCGTCCAGGCCAAAGACATGATTGGTCAGATGGGAGGTCTCTCAGGAACCACCTCCGTCACGGTGATACTGACCGACATCAATGACAACCCGCCTCGCTTCCCCCACAGTAAGTCTGACCTCTGACCTTCACAGTTCACATCGCAGAAACTCTGAGGGATCAGAGCAGCAGGTATCTCAGGAGCCTGAACTGACCTGGACTCAGACCCAGTCCAGGATTAGTTTCTGGTGAACAGCTGGAGTAAACAGGAAGTAACATCATCATGTGTCTGTTTATCTGTGATCTACAGAGAGCTACCAGTTCACAGTTCCAGAGTCTGTACTGGTGTCAGATGTGGTTGCCAGGATCAAAGCTCTGGATCTGGATGTTGGTCCGAATGCTGAGATGGACTACAGGATCCTGAATGGAGACGGACTGGGAACCTTCAGGATCGTCACCGATCCAAACACACAGGAAGGACTCCTCACTTTACAGAAGGTACTGGTCACTTCCCAGTAAGAACTGGTTCACAGTTTTTTGTCCTTTGTTCAACAGGTTTAGAGTGTTTTAACGGCCCCCCTCTGAGAGAGTCCGGCTCACTGAACTGCCCCCCCTGCAGCTGTGAGCTCTCTGCCTGTCTGATCATTGCATTAGTCGGCTCTGTGCTCCACTTCCTGTCGGTCCCAGAGGACGGACCTCTGCTGCTGAACAGCTGCTGACAAATATCAGCACTTTGTTTCAGCTTTAGAGGCAAAGACAGAACCATCTGTTAGAACCCATTCCAGATCCAGCATGCATGGTTCCAAAATAATCTTATTCTTAATACGATAGTTAGGGAGACCATAGATCCTCTTTCTCCCGGACATCTAAATCTCCCAAAACGTCCAGGATTCAGCTTCTGCTTTCTACAGTCGGCATTCATGCTCTGTGCTTTTTCATTGCTTCGACCTTTCTCTTTAGGTCCCGCCTTCTCGCTCGCCACCATTGGTCGGTCACGTAGGCCTACATATCCTTCACGTCACCCACGGCAACAGCCAAGACACAGAGCAGCAGCAGCTCGTCAACAGTGAAACATGGTGCATGAACGGTGTGAAAAATGGCCAAACACAAGGCTTGAAGTGGGTCGGTACTCTCCGGTACTCACCGGTACGCAGTACCGGCACTTCTACATGTTACTCTTTGGCGTACCGAGACTTTTTTTTGCATACTGGCACTTCTCACAGCCTGCGGGACTCTTGTCTGTCCTCTCCACCGGCGGAGACCAGTAGGGGGAAGATCAGGTGCTTTTTTTATCCAAAGCGATACAACCAATCACAGCCTTGAAAGGGCGGGACTTAAGAAAGGTTGAGGTGCTACTCTCAATAAGCTGTTCAAATGTTACAA